GATTAGAGAAGGCAGCGAAGCTGGAGTCCAGTCCGACACAGACCAGTCATTTAACAGAGATCAGCCTCCACCGTTGATTTCAACCCAGAGAGGCTGAATCCATGATTCCCAGAATTCCTCTTCCTGTATGGTTCTAGATTAGGATGGCCCCCGAGSTGTCAGAGGACCTGAGTGACTCGGTTGCCACTTGACGCTGTGCAGGCTGGGCTGGGGCACAGGGCACGACGGATCCTGCTCTGCCAGGTACTTGTGCAGGTGTGTGGCCAAGGGCACAGGGTCTTCAGCCAATCACCCAGGCTGTCAAAGCCGGGAGACCCGCATGGCTCCCAGTGCGCCCTCGTGGATTCCCGCTCGTCCGTTCTCTCCTGTTCTCAACCGACTTTTGCTCCCTCACTGCTGATTTGCCTGAATTAAATTAACTCCAGGCTCAACCAGAGCCAACCCCCTTGCATAGAMTTTCCTACCAGCTTCTGGTATTTTCTGACACAGTTTCTAAAAGAAATTCGTGATTTCTCTGTCACTCAGAGGGATCTGCCTTTCTGACGGAACCCGTGACATTCAGTCACCAAAGGCAGTTATGACAGTGTCTCTCCCTCTCGAGAAACAAACCAGGGACTGGGACTCAGGAGGTTTGGTCTCCCCGGAGACAGTAACATGGTGACCTGGAGTTCCTCCCCACGGTAATCCCAGGTCCAAGGCAGAGGAACCCCCAGCCCTTCCTGTGTGGTTTCCCTATTGCTGCGACGACAAATGACCATGACCTAGTGGTTGCACAAAATAAATTCATGATCTTGCATTTCTAGAGGCCATAAGCCCAAAATGGGTCTCACTAAGCCAAAATCAGGGTGTCATCAGGGCCTCGCTCCTTCTGGAGGCTTCAGGGGGAACCTACTTCCTTGTCTTTCCAGCTCCTCGAGGTCCCTGATTCTTTCCTATGTGGTCTCCTGGTCCATCTTCAAAACCTGTAGGTAGGCATCTTGAGATCTTTCACTCTCTCACAATGACCCTTTCACAAGGTCTCTTCTGAGTGTACTGGGTCCTCCTGGGTGATACAGGACAATCCCCCATTTCAAGATCTGAGAAAACCCATCTACCAAGTCCCTTTTGCCATAAGGGAGCACATTAATAGGTCCTCAGAGTTAGGACTTACACATTTGGGGGTGTTCTGCTGACCACACCTCCAGATCCTCTCTCTCCTCTTATCCCCCTATTCAGCACCAAGAGACTGACCAGTCCTCTCGCCCTCTTCCTGCTGCCAGGATTCAGCCAATGGTCGGGGGTGGGCACCAGCAAAGATCAGGGAGGCACTGTGGGTTGGGTGTCTCTCTCTGCCACAGGACAGTGGCCGCCAGCCCCTCTGGCACAGCTCCAGCTGTGCCCCAGCCCCAGGGATGGCAACAGCATCCCTGCCTGGTGGCTCTGAGGCACCAGGCCATTCCTCATTGGTCCCCTGTAGCCACACATCTGTGACAGTTCCTGCTAGACGTAGATAGGACATCCACAGCTATAAAACTCTTAGGACAGAACATAGAGACAGGATTCATGGCGCTGGATTTATTGACGGCTGTGACACAGAAAGCACAATCAACAAAAGAAAAATTGATAAATTGGATTTTGTCAAAATTAAAAACTTTTCTATCAAGAGACACTAGCAGAAAAGTGAAAACCCACAGAACAGGGGGAAATATTTGAAAGTCACACATCTGCTAGGTCTCGTTTCTAGACTACACAAGGAACTCTTAAAAAGCAACAACAAACAGACAACAGAAGTCAAAAGGAGCAAGGGTCTTGAATAGACTTTCCTTCAAACCAGAAAGACAGACAGTCAACTAGCCCATTAAGAGGGGTTCAATGTCATGGGTCAACATCAGTTCTGGTTAGGGCAGCACGTGGTGGCRCATCCTACCCGCAGCCCATGGGCGAGCAGAAGGTTCTTGAACTGGAGCAGAGAGAGAGAGACAGAAGAGAGAGACGGGGGTCCCTCAATCACCTAAAGACCTCCCACTAGACCTGACCTCCCAAGAACACCTCTCTGTCAACCAAGCTTTCAATCACAGTGGTCCTTGGGGGACACTCAAGTTCACCACCACCAMCAACAACAACCAGATCCAAAGCACTGCTCTGTTTCAATGTCTTTAAATTTGTCAGATAAATTCTGCCAGGACCAAGACCCCAGGCCCTGACGAGTCCCTCGAGACACCATCATTGTCAAGGCTGGTGGCTGAACTTGGGCGGGCCTGCCCACCGTGGGACCCAGGCTACTCCCAGCCACTGCTCTCCCGCTGGGAGGGCCCTTCCTGCACACGCATGGCTCCTTCCAGAAATGTAACRGAAGGTCAGTTCGTCTCAGTGGTCAGTGCTGACCAGAGCAGGGAATGAAGACCAGAGCAAGAAGTCTTGTGCAGATTCCTGAAGTTCCTTACGCACTAGAGACACACCTGAGGCTACCTGGGAACTCCTTYCTTCTTCTTCCCCTTCTTCCTTTCTGAGTAAGGTTCTCCCTGTGATGCTCGACGGGCCTCGAACAATCTTTCTGCCTCAGTCTTTGTGTAGGAGGATGACACCGTGTGCCATCACCATGCCCTGACCCCTCCCCTGGGGAAATGAGGACAGTCTGTCCTGCATTCTCCTGTGGGGCTGGAGGTGAGTGACCAAGGACTGGAGATGAGATCTGGGCAGGTTTGGAGGCAACTGTTGGTTCAGAGTTGGGCTTAACCGGAACCTCTGCCTCGTCTTCTAAGTTACCCAGGACTTGTCAGCTGGACCCTTCACCCCCTCTCTGTCCATCCCAAAGGACACCAGGCTCTTGGGCTGTTCTTCAGGTGTAAGCCCTGGAAATGCCTCCTCACTCACCTCTCAGTCTCCAGAAGCCCCTTCTGCCCCCAGACTTAGCCTCGGGCCAGTGTCCCCAGTTTACCACTTCCACTACCTTCACTCCCCTTGCTCTCTCTCCCTCAGTGCACCTCTGACCCTCCTTGCATTTCGATTTTCTTGCCCCTGGGCTATGAGGACCAAACCTTCTGTTCCATTCCCCATAAATGCCCTGAGTGGCTCCAAATCGTGGGTGGAGAGCACCTGCTTAGACACTCTTGCAGCCGACAGTGGGCGTTATTGCAAAAGAGCTAACATAGGAGCTTGCGGAGGGAGGGGAAGGAGGCTGTTCATTGTCCAAGAGCATTTTTCACAATGTGACACAAAGTTCAAGGCTCTAGCCAGCCAAGCTATTTCTCAATGTGCTGCTGGAGCTGGGTTACCCTTCACATGCCTAGAGAGGACCCCAATTTATGGGGCTTTAAGATCAAAACAAGGTCAGAGGACAATGAGCTGACCCCACTGGGAGTCCAAGTGATCTCAACTAAAATCGCTAGAGAAGGTGGAGACCATGGCAAAGGGCACTTCATATCCTGTGCCTGATGCTCCATCTCCCCACAACAGGTGGCCTCTGAGCTGGGACCTTGGCTTTCTCTTGTTGTCCGTGTGGAATTTCTACCTGCCTGGTACAGACTGTGCTGGGAGGCAGGGCACCCTAGACCACAGCACATCCCACGTGGACCTCCCTCCCTTTCTTCTCTGGGATCCTCTGGTCACCGTCATCTCCAAAGCACTCTGCCCACAGGTGTCCCTATCTGTGGTGCTATTACTGCTACCCCAGGCTCTGTGATCCTGGTCTTTAGAAGCCCCTTCTCTTTCCCACAGACCACAGCCCCCCTCTGCTGGCCAATGCCAATGGATCTCTGCTTCCTGGCTCCCCGACTCTGGTGTACCCTCAGACCCAAGGTCCAAGCTCTCCACAGCCCAGCTCCAAGCTCTCTGTCACCTGCTACAAGTCTTCAATGGATTATAATGAAATTATGAAAAACTCCATTGGCTCTGCACCCAGTATTTCTTGCAGAGCTATTATGCTCTGGGCATGGTGTCGGGGCTGGGATTATAACAGTGAACAAGATCCTCAGGAGCTCACGGTGCCCTAGGGAGAACACACATGACATTGTGCCACAAAGTGCCACACTGTGATGGGGAGGGAGGGGAGTGAACTCTGGGGCCACAAATAAGGGCACCCACCTGACGCAGTGGGTCACAGAAGGCCCCAGGACTGGCAGGATCAAGTCAAGAATAAAAGCTCCTGGGTCTCTGACATGGCCTCTGGTCCTCACACTTCCCATGAGGAACCCATTAAGGCCTTCTGCCTCTTCTAAACAGGCCATTTTCACCATTCTTCTCCCTCCCYAGATCATCCTGTTCCTCTCCTCTCTACCTGTCACACTCCTACTGAGACTTCAAGAACCATGGGGACACCTCCCCCTCCCCGAAGGCTTCCTGGTTTCCAGGGTCACACATCATCTCCCTCCCCCTCCGTATTGCTCCTGCCATTCCTAAAGGCGGTACTGTAGTAGACCCTATGCATGCTGTGTGCCCACTGGACTCGTGGAGGCAGGACCACAGTGTGTTCCTCATGGGGAGTTTCCTACAATACTCTGTACTGAGGTGGAGGTGAAGGGGAGTTAAGGACAAGGCCCAACAGGATATTTTGTCCCAGCTATAGGGAAACCCGAAGGAGCCACGTGCAGATGGGTCCTGTGGTGCGTGCCCTGTTTCTGGGTACTAAAACCCACTGTCAACTCCCTGGCTGCCTCCCCTGTCCAGGGCAAGCCTCGGTCATCTGACCGACACTCTGTGGCACTGCAGTCAACCTTCCCAACTCTGACCAAGAACAGATTCCTCAGAACAACAACGGCTAAGTCTTTCCCTTTACCCACAATGAGGCTGAATGAAGTTCTTGAAAATCTCACCACATGGTTCTCTCACACCGTGGGAAGCACTGGCTCCATTCTGGGACCAAGGATCTCTGCTGTCTTGCTCCATCGTCCCTCTCCATTTCCCAACCCGTTGGCGAGCCTCCACCTCCTCACCCAGCTCCACGGGAACTGGCCGACCGCCCAATCCACACGACCTTCCTTCCTTCCCCTCCTCCTGCACTGGGGCCCCTCACCTTGGCTTGGCTTTGGAGAAAGTTTAAAAGGCTAGTTTCCTGCATCCCCTTTAATCATCCTGTTATCTTGATCAGCATTTTAGGGAAAAGTTTTCAATTAGCAATAATCGCGCCTCGGATAAACCTCATTGGCTACGATACTGCCACTGCGCAAAGCTCTTGATCAGCATTTTAATTTTATATGTGATTCTGTCTTGAATTCTGACTCTKTTGGGGGAGGGGCGGGAGTTGGAGAGGGGATTGTTGAAGATGGCTGTATTTTATTAAGTGTCACGGTCATGGGTTGGCCATCGGTTCCTTAAGATGGAGCCTGGGGGTGGGGGGTGGGAAGGACACAAGTACCGTGAAGTCACAGTGCAAAATATTTTTCAAGGAAACATCAAAGACCTTTTCCATGGTGTCTTGCCTTGACCCCATTTCACACTGGCAAAACACAAACTCAAATTAAAATAAAAATACCAGGTCGGCTCCATTTCGTCAGCTGGGCTGCTGGGCTAAGTGACCGATTTTTATTAAAGTCACTAAATGCAAACATTCCAAGATTTATTTTCCTTGCTTATAATTTTTTTTTCTGCCTTTCCACTGGTGGGCTGTTTATTTCTAATAATTTGGTAGGAAAAAACATTTGCTCATACCAGTGGAGGTCTTATATGCCAAGCTCAAACCAGAGCACATTTTATTGCAGAATAAAACCCCTGGAAAACAGGCTCCAGGGGGGCCTGCTGAAGGCAAGTTTACAAGCACAGTACAATTGACGCCATTATAATTAGTTCCCCCCAAAAGTCTTATTTTTCAAGGCAGAGATCTGAATCTTTCTCTTTGCACATGAATATCTCCGGACTAGAGCAAAAACATTATGGAGAGTGAGTCATAGACGGGCTTTAGGCTTTAAAGACTAATGCAGATCCTATAAATTTAACCCACATTCTTTTACTGGGAATGACTGACTTTTATGAAAACCGAGGACTGTAAATCAGAAACTTAAATAGCTTACTTTGCAGCAGATAAACACAGATTTATGTAGTGACTGAGCCCTAAATTAACCCTTTCATGGTGCCATGGAACACTTGGGGTGGGTGTATGCAGAGGGGCTTGGGTTCATCCAACCCGGCTGTGTCTTCCTGAGGCTGGATCTGGGGAACAGGCCCGCAGGGTGTCACCTCCAGGAGGTGGCAGGCAATCTGGCCAAGACTGCTTCCTGCTGATCCACCTCAGCTGGATTAAGCCTCCAGGATTTGGCCTCTGTTTTTTCCAAAGGACAATCCCTAACTTGAAATGACACACACAGGAGAGTTCCCTATGAGGTTTTTGCATGGGGGATGCATGTGTTCCTGTTGCAGCCTGAGCTTCTAATCCCTAGATATGTGACTTCTGAAAAAAAAAACAAAAACTCTGGGAACTTCACCTTCTCATCAGGAAAGTGATTCAATAGGATTCAACAGGGCAATTGCACAAGGTGCTTAAAGCAGTCTGGGCCCATAAGCTCTCCATGCCTATTAGCCAGCATATTGCTGTTAGGCCGAGAACCTCCGGCTCTGCGAACCAGCCTTCTCAAACTAAGGAGCACTGGCCACCTGGGGATCCAGTCATAGGCAGATTCCGTCCAGCACACCAGAGATTCTGATTTCTAACAAGCTTCCGCGGGATGCCAGGCTACGGATTCGTGGATCCTGCAGCCCTGAGCAGTGCCGGGTGCGAGCAGCTGGAATTGCCAACCGCACCCACCCCCTTTCTCCTTCAGTCCCCAACAAGACGCGCTCTGCTGCCTCCAGCCTGGTCCTGCCTGGTGGGGCATCAACCGCATCCTTGACCAAGAGAATGGCTCTCGGAATCCTGCGCTTCAGGGCCGCGGCCCGCTCGCTGGGACCGCGGGCGCCTTCCCGCCGGCCGCGGTGGCTCCGAGGACCCTGCGGGCACTTATCTCCGCGCGGCCGCTCCCGCGCAGCCCAGGGCGGCCTCGAGCTTTTGTGTTTAAACAAGGCGCGCCCTGGGCTGCCCACTGGGACTTTAAAGGGAGACAGGACCTGGCGACCCCGGGAGGGAGGAAAAGGGCATCTATCATTTTTATGTGGCATTTCAAAGGAGGACGCTCCTAGGCGGCCCGGAGACAAAGGCCCGCGCGGGTTAATGGAGAACCCCCATTTAATCATTAACGCTCAAAACTAAACCAGCCCCAGGGCGGAGGGCCCCAGGAAGCCGCAGCTCCCAAGCTCCCCCACCGGGTCAGGCGGACTGGGGGCTTTCGTGTGTGGCCGTGGCGTTTGGGCCCAGCCCTTCCTGGCAGATGGGACTCTTGGCTGGAGTTCCGCGGGGTGGGGGGGGCGGGCCTTAGATCTGGGGCAGGTCACTTGGGCGGCACTGCACTGGGGACCCGCTCCTTCCATCAGCTCCCTTGGTCCAGGAAAGGTGGCGCCACTGATCCACTTTCTGACCAGACCTGAAGTCAGGAAGTAAACAGTGCGCAGCCTGCACACCTGGCAGGTGGCGCCCTGCGAATTCAGGGCAGTGGACAAAGTCCCCGGAGCCGGCTCCTCAGCTGTGCAGCTGCGGTGACCAGGCCATCCCTCCAGCCTGAGCCCTGGCACGGAGGCTTCAGTTCTGACTCAGCTCCCCTGCCCCCACGGCACTGCAGCCTGTCCATCCTGCAGGAGGTGTCCCCAGCCTGCCACTGGGTCTCATTTTAATAATTTACCTGCAGCTGGACGTAAGGCTCCTTCCTCCTTCGATGTTTTCCCAAGTTCTAGGTCGCAGGGAGAAGTGGCTTCTTTCCCAGCTCTCTGCCCTGCCATCCTGTGAGGAGGGGTGGAGAACAGGTCAGCTCCATCTCCAGCCCCTGTTGRCACCTGGTTTCCAGGGTAGTAGTCGATTCAGCTTCAGGCCCTCAACTGACCATGGTTTCTGGCTCGAGYTGAAGACGCCCCAGCACTTCTGCATTTCTACCTATTTTTAATTTTTTTTATATTGAAGTTTAGCATCACAGTCGATGTGAGCTGGATGTTAAACTGGATGAATTTATCACAAACAGAGCAACCTGGGAAGCCAGCACCTGATGGAGAGCAGCATTTGATCATTTTGAATCTTAGAAAACAGAATCTTCTGGGCTCCTGGAGCCCCTGCCCCTGTCCAGTCACTCTCCCTCCTCCCTGGGACACCCTCTCCCGACTCCCCACAGCAGGTTAGTTTGCCTCTGGGTGGCATCATGTCTCAGGGAATCGGTCGGCTGTGGCTTCTCCCCACCTGATGTGTGTGGGTTCTGCCCGCCTGGCTGTTCAGTGGTCCATTGTTCATTCTCATTGCTGAAGAGTAGTCAGTCATTTTGATTGTGACTTTCTATGTATAATACTTTACTTCTGCCAATACTTTTTCAAATTATTAAAGAATAAAACAAATGGTTTAATTTAAAAATTGCAGAATGGTACTGGTGGGGGGGAACATGGATGTAGCAAAAAACATGGAGATGGTGCATGAATCACGAAGACGTGGCATTTCAGACCCACGAGTGTAGGATGAGGGTTGCTAACCTTGTCCCCACCCCCCACCACCAAGGCTGGCCACTTTTAAACTCCATCATGTAGGAGCTGAATGACAGCACCAGGTATAGCTGCTTTTCAGCCATCTTGCCGGCCAGGCACCCTGGTGGTATCCCCCCACTCAGAGTCCCTGGTATGTTTTAGGACACAAGAGCCCAGCAGCACCTAGGTGTCTGTGGGCTCAGGGGCCCCTTCCAAAGCCCCCCTTCAGCGGAAGGAGGTGAGCCTGCTCCAGGGCTCCCAGGACATGCTGCTGACCTTTTCTGCTTCTTTGTGGGAAAATTCTCCAGGAGGAGATAAGATCAGGGTGGTTAGAGCCTTGCAGGGGGCCTTGCTCCTGGGGGCAGGATAGAGGGAAACTGCTCAGATGTGGCCGGGTGCCCCCACCCCCACCCCCTCTCTGGAGTTGCAGCAAACCCTGCGCCTCCTAGAAAGAGCACTTGCCAGGACGGAAGGGGGCTGAAAGCCATGGATGACCCAGAGAAACTTGAGCCCTCGCCTTGGGCTCAATTAGGTGGAGATTCCCMGTTTCTCACCCAGGGGAGGAAAAGTAATTCTCAAACCTCCAGGAGAAGTGATGGTGACTTGTTTACCTTTAAGAGTGATTTGAAAGTCTTGTTGACTCATTAATCCTGGTGATCTGATCACTGGGCAGGGCAGTAGTGGATGACCACTCTCAGGAGCCAGGGGGAGAGACCTCTGTTCTTTCCTGACAACCCCATGTCCCAGCTGCTCTGTGCCTTCAGAGCTGCATGACCTTTTGAAAGCCCCTTCCTGCCACCCCTACACCTTAATTTCCTGGTCTCCATGTGGCTGTGAACACGGGTCCTTGCAGGGCAGTAGTGAAAACCACGGGGACCAGTGCTGTCCAAGCCCCAGCACAGGTCTCCTGAACAGAGGAGCCAGCCTTAGTGCAGGCACAGAGGCAAGGGGGGCAGGTACCTCTAACTTGGTTTTAACCCAAATTTTGAGTGTGTCTGCATTCAAGTTCAGTTTTTCCTTTGAACAGAAGATTGAAGGAAGCAGAGCTCTAAAGCAGGGTTCTAGAAAACACTAGCTGAGATACAGAGCTCTGCCACTAAGGAACCTACTCTCCATGATCCAAGCAACACCCTCTCGGCTCTGGGACTTACATTTTTCAACATTTCTGATTCTTAAAAAAAAAAAAAATCTAATTAAATTCCCATCTATGTGCAAGACCTGACTTGCCTGGTTTTAGTAGTGAAAAATTCCATAGCCTGCGACCGTTCTGGTTTTAAAATTGGAAGTTCCCCATTTTGGAAACACCCCTACTCCCAAACTAGAACGATTGGTAGCCCTACTTAAATTGCTCTATCACATTCTGTCTTGGTTATTTTCTGCATCATTCTAATTGATAGCAACGTTCATAAGAGACTGTGCTAAGCACATTTCCTCCATAATTTCACTTAGCTTTCCTAAAACTCCTTTGAGATAAAATATCCGCATCCTTATTGAGCCAACATAACTTCCTGTTTCTGTGGGAAGCAGCCCTGGGACAAAGCATGCTTTCCATTTTTTGGTGCTAAAAAACCAGGACGAGGTAAAATCATTGAGCTGATGACCGTAGATTTTGGATAGCAACAACTTGGCCTGCGAAGCTTGGTCAA